AAAAACTGGATTTATATGAAGTTTCTATTAAAAATAAGAAGAATATTCGATATCACAATTTTTGTCATTTTCCAATACCCATCATTGCAGCCCAGAGAGTCAATAGATCTATATATAATATATATATTGTGGATGAATACATTTGTTTCAGCAACTTACTGACTATATGCTTTAAATGTCTCTGCTTTATGTATAGTTTTAGCAATAGAGAAAATGAATTGTTTCCTCAATTAGAAATTGAATCAGTTCAGCATATAAAACTGTATAGATTTTTTTTTAAATCGTGCAGATTTGTAAAACAGCAGATTTTCTTTTATGAATAAAAAATAGCTGTGAGATAGTAATCAAAAATGAAAATGTTACAGTATCGTCTAGTCATCAGTTTCCGCGCGTTATGTATTTACGAACAGCCATTTTATCAAGCTGTAACTACGTGACCTGCTGGACACACCACAAGGATATTTTAGACGTTTTGCCATCGTCTGTAAACTGACACAAAAATTACCAGAGTTGTCGTAGGGAGTGCAAGGACCATAACTCTGCGTAATAGTCTCGTTCAACCAGACTCTTGTTGTCTGCGCAAGCGTCTGATTGAACGAGACTACACTGCCGATACAATAATTTTTCGACCATTCAGAACTAGAGCAATGTAGCCGGTAACGTTATGTCAAGAGAATTTACATCTTTAACCGGAAAGTATCAGACATTTAAGTATCCTATAGTTAGATATACGTTTTAAATCTTACAAAAATGTAACGTTTGTTCGAGATTCGGTAAACGAGAACTTGTTTCGAGATCAAGATGGCGGAGACTACAGCGCGTGCGACTGGCGGCCATGTTAAGACAGGTTGATCTTTATTTTTCTTACAAACGTGTTACCTATAGAGAGAGCTCCGCCCTCTAATATTCTATCAAAAGTTCAACTCTAACAACAGCAAGCGGCATGCACGACATAGGCTACCAAAGAAAAGAAGGGGGAGGGTGAAGACAATAAAATCGTTTACATGTTTGTTTGTGCAAAAAAACCCATTAATATATGTCCATCATTTATAGCTTCATGAGAGTCAGGGACAAGGAGTTAGCAAATTGTGTTTGATTATATTTAAGTACATTTACGAAAATAAGTGTGTTCATGTTCCTACATTTTTGTATTTGCAAAATTCAACAGCACGTGTAGTTCTTTGTAGAGGCGCAAACAAAGTGCCCCAACCTCATTCCGTAATCCCCACTCTTCTTCTCCGCCTACAGCTACAAATAGAACTGACGTCAGCTATGAGGGGCACACAGCTACTGAACTTTCTGAAAGGAGCTCTTTCGCCGTAAAACATGTTTCTTTTCCGTAATATCAACTTAATGTACAATAGGTATCTCTCATTTCAGCCATGCCATCCAATAACTGGTATATACAGTGTTTACTTGCCAGTCCGGCGCAACACTTAT